CACTTGCGCCGTGTGCCACCAGAACATCCAGAGCCGGGCGCCCAAGCTGCTGCCCTGCCTGCACTCCTTCTGCCAGCGCTGCCTGCCCGCGCCCCAGCGCTACCTCATGTTGCCGGCGCCCATGCTGGGCTCGGCCGAGACCCCGCCGCCCGTCCCCGCCCCCGGCTCGCCGGTCAGCGGCTCCTCGCCTTTCGCCACCCAAGGTGAGAGGCGGGCGCGGGGGGCACCCGGAGACGGAGCTGCTGGAGGCGGGCGTCCTTGCGCTGCGCGACCCGCTGTCATGTCGCCGCCGCCCGGGGTGCGCGGCGGGGGAGGGGCGAGGAGGAGGGTCTGAGTCGGCGGTGACATGGAGGGCCCGCGCGCTCTGCGGCTCGCCTCGCAACTTCCACGGGCGCTGGGGACTTGGCCGCGCCGCTGCTGCTGCTCAGCGTTCTCCTTCGGGGCTGGGTGGCCTTTGCGACCTGCACTTTTGCAGAGCTCTGGCGGAGTCTCCTGTACTCGGTTTAGCGGATTCTTTGCCCGACTGCATCTAGTTAACTGCTACCCGTTGCCTCTGCAAAGCTTTGTCCAGGTCCATATGATCCTAATCATCTCGTATATACCCCACGTTATTTGAGCTGGAGGTGGGGGAGTTGGGAGGGATGGAGATTAAGTGATGGTGACTTTCTTTGATGATTGATTGCAGATTGAATGCCGTCTGTTTCCTATCTTGCATGTTTGGGGTTCTTTACCTACCTTAATGAGTTCGCAATCCTCTCCGCTTCTGCTGGGGACAAAGAAACCTAGAGACGGTGGTTTGTTGTCTGCTTCTTTCGAAGGTTTTGTTTTTGAGACAGTGAAGGGTAAAGAGAAATAAAACAAAGTAATTTGGAGATGCAGGGTTTTCTTGTATTTTGTAGGCAATGACTGTAAGTTACTACTGTTCTCTTTGTAGTGTTTGTTACTGGAAAATGAGACTTTTGACAGGTAGTTCCCATTGCTAACGTTAACAGGTTTGAAACATTTAAAGTAAGAACAGTAATTGTTTCTGGTAGAGCATTTTAAATTTAAATAGTATGCCAAATATTGGAGCACATCCTTCAAATAATACAAAGTAACTGGAAAAGGGAAATCACTTTTAACCTAAACTGGTTGATTTAATTTGAGATAATATGCTAATCAAGTAGTTACACAAGGTCAAGGGATGTATGAAATTGATGCTTTAAATAGATTGTGGTCTTGAATCCATTTATCTTAGCAACAGTCTCTATTTGTAGGAGACAATTTTCTAAGGGTCTCTATTTCTATGCTCTTGCCAGTGAGGTAACAACCTCTCTTTGTTTCTGTTTTGTTAAGGCTGTTGTATAAAGAACAGTCTTTATAAAAGATAGTATCTCCTACCACAGCAAAAAGCAGGAATACATGCTATGTGTATACAGTTATATGCTATACAGTTTAATAAAAAAAAAAAAAAGTCTTCCTCTGAAGCCAAAGGGTGGGCTTGCTTATTGCCCACATTAAAAGATTAGGGTTCCCTAAGCTTAGTGTTCCTCTTCTGTAACACAACCCACTGCCTGTGTAGATATCAATTGAGAGACTCTCTTCACTTTGTCCTGTGGGAACTGGGGCTCTGGGAACCAGTGCAAAAATGTTGATACTTTGGCTTAAGCTTTTGCTACAAATATGCTATTGCTGTCTCTTTCTTCTATCACTGTTGAGAGCCACAACCGAGTCAAGATGGTGCCTGGCATTTTGCCAGAAGGAGTGGTTGAGAAGTAACGCCAGCAAGCCATTAAGATGATGATAATTAAGTTAAGCTGTGTATAATTAAGATAATAACTGATTGCTGTAACTGGATGATGCTAAATTGAAACAAGCTGTGTATTCAGTTGTGTATATAAACCTTTGCTGTCCGGCAATAAGGCGGCTCCTGCTACCTCGGGTGCCCGCTACTTTTGAGTTCTTGGGGAGTTCCCGTTGAGTTCCGGTGGAGTTTGGGCAATAAAGTAGTTCCTGTTTGAACCTACAAGTGGCTGATGACCTCCCGGTTATTTTGTGCCCAGCCAGACTGCGGCATATCATCATCTTTGAAACTGGTAGGCTGCTTCATTAGCATGCAAGTATGAAAGTTGATAGAGGTGAAACTTGTATCTTAATAAAATTCTTAATTTTATGTTAATTTTTTGGAGGTGCTTGGGATTACATAGCCTCATGCATGCTATGTGGCTTTTACCATTGAGTTACACCCCTACCCTTCCACCCCTAACCTCAGCCCTAGTTCTTAATTCTTAAACACATTTTAAAGTTTCTTTAACAGTTGTCCCTTGGTAGCTAATGGACTTGGTTCCAGGATCTCCATAGATAATAAATCTGTGGATGCTCAAATTCCTTGTGTAAAATAGCCTCATGTTTGCATATTATCTATGCAAAACCTTCCTTATACTTGAAATATTTTCTAGATTATGTATGCTGAATACATTGTAAATGTTATGTAAATAGCCATTGCAATGTAACATTTAGGAAATAATTTTTTAAAAGTACATGTTTACTACAAACACAGTTGGTTTCCCTCCCTCCATATTTTTCAGCTCTAGTTGGTTGAATCCATGTGTTTCACCCCACAGGATCAACTGTATTTAAATTTTAAATAGTTAAACAAGTGGCCAACTAAGATCATAATTTTGCACAGTTTTAGAAATAAGATTTATTATAGAATATAAATAATAAGAGCTATGATCCTCAATTCTAAGACAGGTTTGAAATTCCAGACTTTTTTGTGTAATTCAGTCTCTAAACCTTTTTGTTTTGTTTTGTATTATAAAGGAGAGTTCAAGAAAAGCATTAACTTGGATGATAATGGGGTTTTTGTTTGTTTGTTTGTTTGTTTGAATTGACTCCTAGGATGCTTTACTGTGAGCCACCTCTCCTACCCTTTTTTCTGTTTTTAGAAAGTTGCTATGGTTGGCCTCAAACTTGTGATCCTCCTGCCTCAGCTTCCCAAATTATTGGGATTCTGGCATGTGCCATCACACGAAGCCACAACACAATTATTTTAGGCCAGAGAAGTTGATACTCTTTTTTGATTTAGATAATCATTTTCAAACTTTAACATTAATACAGCCACTTAATAAGTATTTAGATTTCTAGGCCCCTCCCTCCAAAGAACCTGATTCTACCTAATGTGACATAGTTTCATACTTCTAGAGCATAATATTAAACTCAGGTATTTCTTTGACTCAAGCAGCATTGTGTTCCAAAGTACATTTGACCATAGAGTTTTGTTTTTGTTTTTTCTTTGTGTGTGTGTTGGGGGTTAGGGTTCTGGGGATGGAATTCAGAGCCTTGTGCTTGCTAGGCAAGAAATCAACCACTGTGACCCCATCTCTCATAAGAGAATTCTTTAGAAAATTAAGATCTAAATTTGAGGATAAGAATAGTGGTTCTCAGCAGTATCAGATCTAGCTTCTATAAAATACTATTTTATAGAAATACTATTTCTATAAAATACTATTGATGCTTCTTTTTTTTTATCCTAAATGGGTTTCATGAAAAATAAATCCTAAAATGTATTTTTCTTAAAAAAAAAATCAACATGATTTTGACTTCATTTTGTGATGGAGAGGGCATGCTAGTAAGTGCTCTGCCATTCAACTTCACCCCCACAATATGATTTACTTAAAACTAACCACAGCACGAAACTACTTTAAAAGTGTAATTTATAGCTTGGTGAGGTGGTGTGCATCTGTAATCCCAGTAGCTGGGCAGGCTGAGGCAGGAGGATCTTGAGTTCAAAGCCAGCCTCAGCAAAAGTGAGGGGCTAAGCAACTCAATGAGACCCTGTCTCTAAATAAAATACAAAATAGAGTGGGGATGTGGCTCAGTGGTTGAGTGCCCCTAAGTTCAACCCCCAGTACCCCCCCCAAAAAGTGTAATTTATAAATGTTTAGATGCAATTACATTGACCACCAATCCCTTATTGATAACATTTGTTCTAAAACCTTGGTCTAAACTCCTTTTCTAAGACTACATATTGAAAGGAAAAAGGGTAAGTGACCACAAACTAAAGTTGAATGACCTCTTCAGCCTTGTCTGTCATTTTTGTAGTATGTAGTTATATCCAGAATAGAGATAAGAGATTAGAAAAGGTTTTTGTTTTTGTATGGAAAACATACAAAGTTGTTAAGTTGGAAACAAACTCATATTGGAGAAATGTTACAACATTGTGCAGTGTTTTGTTGTGTTGACATACTGCTCAGCCAAAGAAGAGCAAACTGAGCTATTTTAAAAAATACTGAGAGCATACTTATTTTACTCTACCTTGACATCATTTGTCAAGGTAGAGTAAAATATAAAAATTCATCAGTTTTCTAAGACATTTATTTATTGTGGGGATTAAACTCGGGGACCTGTACATGCTCAGCATGTGTTCTACCACTGAGCTATACACACTCCAGCTTCCTAAAACTTTAACTGTCAGTTTACAGTATACTTAACTATTCTGTGAGCTGATCTCTTCATTTGGTTCTTGGTGAAACAGTATAAATCATCTTTTTTGACTAAAAGATTAAGTGGCAAAGGATTTAACAGTATTTAAGATCGATAGGGACTGGGGTTATGGTTCAATGGTAGAGCACTTGCCTAGCATGTTTGAGGCACTGGGTTCAATTCTCAGCTCTGCATATAAATAAATAAAATAGTCCATTAAAAATAATTGATAGATATTTCTGTATCAGTTCTATATGAATTCATTCACTTGTTTTTGGAGATTGGTACAATAGTCCTCCTTTACCTGAGATTTTACTTTCTGTGCTTCAGAAAATACCTATGATCAACTCCAATCTGAAAATATTAATATGGAAAATTCCAGAAATAATTCAAAAGTTTTATATTACGTGCTGTTCTGAGTAGCACAATGAAATCTCACCCTGTTCTGCCCGGGGCATGAATCATCCCTTTGTCCAACATATTCGTGCTATATATGCCGCCAGACCATTAGTCACTTAGAAGCCCTCTTAGTTATCAGATCTAGTATTGTGGACATGTAGCCTGATATTATATTACATCATAGTGCCTGTCATTTATCTCACTTCCTTTCATCACATAGGCATCGCATCATCTTAAATCATCCCAAGAAGGTTGAGAATAGTACACTAAGATGTTTTGATACAGACACCACATTCGTGTAACTTTTACTACAGTGTATTATAGTACAGTCTTTTATTAT